GCCATGAGTTTGAGACCAGCCTAGGCAGAAAAATTAGTTCAAAGTCAATCTGAATTGCACAGTGAGACCCTGTCTCAAAAAACTGAAATAAATTATATACATGTGGGTAGGATTAATTTATAGTTTTCTACAGCACAATGGGGTAACTATAATTAACTATAACATTACTGGATATTACAACATAGCTACAAGAAAGGATTTTGAACATTCTTAATGCAAAGAAATGGGTATGCCAAGATCCTCAATTGAACACAATTGTCAAAACACATGTATAATATATTTATCAATACATCACACCTAATCCCATAAACATATATAATTACCACACATACTGTAGAATATATGCATTATATATCTACCAAAATAGGCCCCATGCATATGCTCAACTTAAAATTTATAAAAACTGAATAAAATTTGTTACTATAAGGAGGTAATAACAGTGATTTGTTGTATAGTTACCATGCACAGAGCATTGCTCTTTTTCTCCAAGCATTTTTAAGTATTTTTTTACTTAATCCTCACAATTGTCTCATGAGCTCCCATTTTATAGATGAGAGAAGGAACACTTAAGTTTTCCTTTAATGAAATCAAGATTTACCTGAGCTCTGAACAAGGGTTTATACCTATGTCACATGACTGGTTATTGCACATCCTTGGGAGGACTGTACCCAGGATGTCAATGACTCTGATGTGGCTTTACAGCTGCAGTTCAGGGGGAAGTTGGCACTTTCACCTTTGATCCTTCATAAACATCTGACCAAAGAAGGCCATGTCATGGAGCAAACAGAGTCTCATTCTAGATAAAAAGAGCAACATAATAGACTCTTGGTCTTGTATTTTTTGTACTGAGCACAGTACAGATAAGCCAAAATTCCTCAATTCTTACCAATTCTTTCCATCAACTGTGACTGATTATGTCTAACATGTAAAATTACTGAGAAAGATTTAAGGAAATAAAAATGTAAAAGAAAATGTTTTTCTCAGTAGCCAGGATTCCATATGAGCTCATAAGAACTGAGACCATCTACATTCACGTCACTTAGCTAGCTCAGTTGAGACCTTAGGTCACTTGAATCCAGAAGACTTCACTATCTGTGGCAGAAAACCCTTTTCCAAGAAAATAAGTCTACATACAACAACGTTGTTTGCTTTAGCAAATTATTAACCATCAGTTTATCTGAACACATGTTTTGTTTAACTGAACAAGCAAACTTATCGACATTAGATTGCTCACCTGAGTAAAATGATTATTAATAACTGCTTATGTATCAAAAATCACTTCAAGAACCTTTCCCCACTATTTCTACTAGACCTGAACTACTATATCAAAAAATTCTCCATCTCAATCTACCTTCATTGAAAGAGTTCAGTTGAGTACAGAGCTGCAAGCTCCATAAACACCCACTCCTAGCCCCCTTCTCTGAGATTCTGGTAAGATTTTGGTCATGATTTTCTCCCCTTACTTCAGTGGTTTTAATAAATTTATCTTTAGTTAATTCTCAGGTATTTTTACTAGAAGAGCAACGGGACCCATGTGAAGCCTGATATCAAATAGTCAATAAGTGAGGTGTCCTAAAGTTTATTTTCAAATCTGTTACAAGAGAGACAATGATTATCACATAGATAATCCAATATGACTTCCTTAGCCATAATCCAATATAGACACAAGGGCTCTTGCAGTGGAAAAGGAAGGTGGAGGAAAGAGCATCAGAGAGATAACAACAACAGAAGGACTCAAACCAACCATTTCAACTATGAAGATGAAGGCAGACCACAAACTAAGGAGTGCAGGCTGCCTCAGAAGCTGAAAGGGTCATGAAACAGCTTCCTTCCCGGTGCCTACAGAAGCAGCATGAGCTGCCCAACACATTGATTGCAGCCCACTGAGACTAATTTTGACTTCTAGACATGTGAAACAATAAATTTGTATTGTTTTAGGACACTGAATTTGTGGTAATCTGTTACAATCACAATTGGAAACACTAGAATTGTACATAATTTCTGTGTTCTTTTCTAAGTGGGTTTTTTAAAAAACTTTTTCAATTTTTTTCCTTTGTCTTTGTTATTCTGCAATTTAAATATGATAGTCCTTGGGGAAGTTTTATAGGAATTTGTTTTGCTAAATACTTTTTTGAGAATCTATAGTTTTATCTCAGCTGTCTCTAAAACTGTCTCTAAGTTTGGAGCTGTTCTGTCTTGGTTTTATGACATTGTTTTTTTGTTTGTTTGTTTGTTTTGTTTTGTTTTGTTTTGTTTTAACTTTTATTTCATTTTGGCTCTTTTTTCTCTCGGCATTTTAGTTCGAGAAATTACTTTTTACCTATTTCCAAGCTCACAGATTCTTTCCTTGCTCTGTTGTGCCTACAATGGCATTTTTCACTTCTATTAGAGTGTTTTCTATTTATGTTACTTCCTTTCAAGTCTTTCTTAGAATTTCCATCTCTTAGCTCGTTACCCATTTGTTTTTTCACCGTATCTACTTTTTTCATTCTATCCCTTAACATAATAGTTGTCATTGTTTTAAATTTCTTGCCTGATAAAATGTCTGTGTCCTAACTCTGGTTCTGATGCTTGTCGTGTCTCTTCAAGCTGTGGTTTCTCTTCCCTTTCTGCAGTGCTCTTCTTCACGCATCCCTTCTTTACTTTGAGATTTCCTCTGTTCTCCATCTCAGCAAGAGTCTGTCTTGCTCCTCCCACACCGGTGAGTAACTGTCATTACCAAAGCCCTAAAGGAGTATGGCAACTCTCAATGTTACCTACCATCTGTCTATTAAACCTCCGTTTTTTAGATGGCATAGGCACCCAGTTTTAGGACTTAGGTCTTCAAAACTGTTTGTTTCTGGGCCGGGGATTTAGCTCAGTGGTACTTGAACACAAGGCCTGCCTGGCAAACACAAGGTCCTGAGTTCAATCCCTGTACCAAAAACAAACAAAAACCTGTCTGTCTTACAGAGCTTTGCATGAGACATGAAGGGGTTGAAGATAAAAGAATATGTTTCCCTCATGCACTATTACAAGACCAATGAAGTCTCTCCTTCTGGATATTAGATCTTGTTCCTGGAGACAGATTTAACAAGCTTTTCTCTTCTCTTTCCCATGCCAAAGCCACAAAGGGACTTGTTATCAGATCTTGCCAGTTAAGACCTCCTCCCTGTCTTACTGTCTGTTACTATCATATCACAAGACATAATTTATATCTTTCTGTCTCAGAGTCCAGCTCAATTTTTACCTAGACCTAGACTATAACTCTGACTTAAATTTCCAATTACATGATTAATTACTTCTCAAGATGATGAGAAACAAGAATTATTAAAGCCTTACATAGGGGTATGATCTTCTATGTTTCACACAAGATAATCTCACAACAGCCCTCCATCTGTAGCCTGTAGTCCATATCACTCAATCTTAAGTATTAATGAGAATAAAGACAATAACAAGACCAGTAACAATCATACCAAAATTAGCCTAGACAATTTTCTATTTTTCTCATTAAATATGTAAAAGTTTTGGAATTAGTTTTCATCCACTGTCACTTAATTGCTCAAAAATCAACCTAATTGCCATTGATTATTGTCAAAGACTAAAATGATCCCTTTACATAAATGATTTCCCTAGATTCTGCTATTATGGAAGGGTCAGTTGAAACTGTTAATCCAAATACCTAATCTTTTCAGTCCTTGACAATTTCAATCTTTCCAGAACTGTCCCAAAAACCAAGAGAAATAATCTCAATATCCACATTGTCCTTGTTTATGTCAGTACTCACATTCCTCATTCGTAACCTCCTGTCTTAACTTCTATTTGCTGAGTCTTCTGTATTTCACAGTCTACTGAATTCATTGTAACCCTAAGCTCCTCCTACATGAAGGACACACTGGTTCTTTCCTAAGGCTACTTCCTCTGTATCCGCTTCTTTTGGAACCACTAGAGTGGTCTTTGAGCTGTTCTGTTAACATCAAGCAAATCTTCATTCTCGAGTTTTTTTTTTTTTTTTTTTGCAGAGTATTCCTCTTGCTGTAATACAAATAGAGTACCTTTCTTACAAGTGTTTCTTCAAATGTTTTCACTTCGATAATAGCAAGTATAGTCACTTGATTTAAACCTCTAGCCCACTGACTTTCCTTCACTTACACTATTTCTAGTTCCTCCACTCTTCACTACTTTTATCTTTTCCCTGCAGCATCAGTAACTTTCTGACATCATGCAATTTCCTTATATATGTTTTTTCATTGTCTATCTCTTCATTGCTCAATTTGAAACTTCCCAAGGAACAGAATTATTTGGGTTTTGTCAACCAGTGTATTTCAAGCATTTAAACACATAGTTAGTAGGTGTCTACACTAAGTACTTTTTGAGTAGTAAAATAAACTCTCACTACAATATTACTTCTGGTTTACAGAGAAGAACACTGAAGTTTAGAAAATATGGATAACTCATTAAGAATCATATTCCTTGCATTGTCATAGCCCAGATTCCAATCCAGATTCCATTCTCAATGCTATTTGCCGGAGCAGAGAAGAGAGACACCAAACTGAAGGAGGAGAAGGAGATAGAAGAAGGGGGTAGAAATAAATTTCCATGTACAAACCTAAGCATCTTAGACTATTATCCACAGCAGAAACTCTCAATAGAATGATGTCATAATTAAATCTATTTCTTGGACACGCAATTCAAATAACTGTCAACTGGAGCAGTGAAAGCCAATAAATTACTAGCAAATGAAAACATCACATTGAAAAGAGCCTAAGGCAGCCCGGAGATTTAGTTCGGCAGCATAAGCACCTGCCTGGCGATTGTGACATCATGAGTTCGATCTACAGTATATATATTTTTAAAAACCTAATGCAATGCAGAGATTTCCATTGCTGTCTAAAAATTACTGTATTCCTTCTTAAGTATTCCTAAATATGTAGTTTATTCACCCAGGTCCTCACAAAGAACAATCTGACATAACATGAGTGTTTGTAAAATTATATTTTATTTATATATATTAGAAATCAATAAACTAAACAAGTGAGGTAATTTCCATTTGAGTTCAATCACAGTTGTCAGCAATATTTAGAAGCACCAGATGTGACATTTCCTGAGATGCTGTGTTTTTACCAGGGTACCAGGCCATTTCGCCTGACATATTCAAGTGCTGTCTGCCAGGCCATTAAAGCACTGGCTCAGAATGCAGAGATGTTCTCAAATAGGCAGCAACCAGATGGTGTTATTTAATCTATAAGTATTTCTTGTATCATCAAGTGAAATAAATGCACAACCCTCAGGGTCTTGCTCAGGTCAGCTGCTTAGCTGGCCCCTGAGACAGAACTGGATCATCACATGGTCTTGTTACTTAATCAGAAAGGATAAAGGACAAGAAGAACAATGACAGGATTCAGGAATTATAAATAATACATATATTAATAGATAATAGATATTCATTTTCATTACATTAAACTTACTATTAAATACTTCTTTGATTAATGAGTAAAAATATATTCTCCATATAAATAATTTTAAATATTAATAAATAGGTTTGATTTAAAAATTCAAATATTATAGGCAGAATGACTCTTATTTGGATGCTCTCCGGCTCTGAAACAGCATCTGAGTCCTTCTTCGTTTCCTCTGGTTCGGTGACAGGTCATCTATCACTTTTTTGAGTTCAATGATCGCTTGGCGCTGGACATGCTCGTCATTGACCTAAGGTAAAACAAAGAGAAAAATTAATTTCAGGAATGTGAGCCATCAAGATAGTCTCCTTTCAGTATTATTATCAATGAAAATGGAAGCATTTCTTTTTAAAAGGTGACTCTGAGTAGTAATATATTATTATACAATATTCACTTTTTAATCAGTTAAGGCTACAATGATAAATTGCCAGTTTCATCATAATGTGGTGAGATACATCATATGTCCTTAACTTTAGTGCTACAGAACTTTCAAAATTATACAATGAAATAAGCCCTGAAGCCAAGTGTTGGGAGAAGAAAGGGTAGCATTGAGTTCTGTGCATGCAGTAGCTTTGAATCTGTCATCAAGGCCTTAGAGACTTATCTAGGACTGAAAAGCAAGCCAAGACAGCACTGGATCAGAATCAAGTGCTTCCTCAGTCTCTGGCCTATGACCCAGGAAAATCTGGTGCCATCTCCCTTTTTTGTCACTGGCAACTTACACAAGACAAGACAGAAGCAGATCCAGGTATAGTGAAAGCCGAGCACAAATCCTCAGGTGCACAAGCCATAACAAGAACCAGGACCCTCTCATTTGAGCCCATTTATTTCTAAGCCAAAGTCAAAGGATTTTGGAGGGTTTGTCTTATAGATGAAGTTTGGAAAACATAATGCCTTTATGCTTTAAACTTATCATGCATATTCTAAAACCCTTAATTTAAGGACTCAAGACAGTTTCATAAGATAAAAATGATAAGCCTAGGGATTTCTCCAGCTGAGATGATTAGAATCTAAAAGCTCATAAAACAATCCCTTAATAAGTTGTAAATTCTATTTACTTTCTCCTAAAAATAAAGAGCACTTTTAATTGGGCTACACATCAGAGGTGACCAGACAGCACAGTAAGATGACCTTGCTGCCTCTGCTCTCAAAATTTATACCTTTCTCTGCTCTCATTTTCCACTCGTGGCACTGCGAATTTTTAGAGCAAGGCAACAGTAGAATTTATGTAGTAACTCAAGAGGCTCCTTTTGAGATGAAGAAACTGACACCCAGCCAGGCATGTGATTCAGTTGATGCCACAGTACTTGATGGCCAAGTTAAGAGGAGAACAAATTTTCTCACCCCCTCCTACTGGTCTTTCCATTAAGACACATAACCTTTCCTCCAAAGCAAGAGAATTTCCATCACACAAGCAAGGAACCAAGAAAGAACTTCCTCTACTCCTTTCTCTACTTCCTCCTCACTGGATTTATCTGTTCACCTGTCTTCTGTGTCATAGTTTCAATCCCTGTTTTCCGAAATAACACATTTATTTTATTTCTGGATTGACTTGAAAAAAATCATCCAAAATATGCATGAAATTAGTAAGGAAAAATTGTAGCCATTTGTTCATTTCATAGCCTGAGCAAATGTTAAGTAGCTGGTTGCTGCTTCCTGAGAGTTAAATTCTGGGCAAAAGCTTCCACCATGAAATGAAAAATTGAAATATGCTCACCGAAATTTGAATCAGGTTTTTGAAAGCCTGCACCTTGTTGCTGCTGTTGTCTTTGAAGAACTTAGTAATGATTTGTTCCTTGATGGTGTTCATGCTATTTTGGACAGTCTGATTGTCTGTAAAATGTTTTTCAAAGAGTTTGAAGTAGAAGGAGACGATTTGGCTCTGAAATATTTTTCTTTCACTCTCCTTCGGAGAAAAAAAGCATAAAAAGAGTACATGTGAATTTATTCATCAGAAAATAAGCAACAGAAATACCAGCCAGATGGAATATTCAGCTTACCTCTTGGCAATTCTTCAAAATGCCTACAAAGAGCGTCCCATTGTCTCCTACATCTGAGTTATCTGCATTCTGAGAAAAAAAAAATTAGTCTATAAATTGTCCTAAAAATACTGTAAAGTTTCACTGAACTCAAATGCAGAAAACAGTCACTGATTTCCTTCTCAATCCTTCTGTTTTATTCTACCAGTAAATATTTCTAAAAGCTTTTACACTAGATTAAGCCAAGGACTACTGTCCTCTTTTAGCTTTCTTAGTTACTGGTGTGACCCTTAAATTGCAAAGTTACAAATGATCTCAATAAGGCTGGTGACATTTCTAGATGTCCACGTAACTACAGGTAGCAGTTTAAATACACACACACACACACACACACACACACACACACACACACACACTGTACCTTCAAGCTTAGGTAGGAAGGAAAAAACACTATAGCAAAACCATCCCACTAAAATATACTGCCTCCGTATGGTACAGAGTTCTATAATATCTACCTGTACCCTCCTGCAGGATATTATTATACATCTTTTAAAAGTAGTTCCAAATACATATGTATGAGAGATATCTAATTTGCATTGTAAGAATAAAATAAATTGTGAACACTTGAACATTATTATAAAATCTAAATATTGGACAAATAATAGATTATTTAAAATTCAAAAACTACTTGCATTAACCATGAAAAAGTTTAAAAAGAGACTTATAAAACAAAATATTTTAAAGCTCTGATCCAGAACCATCACTCTTAAGAAACCTCAGCAAGTGACTTTCTTCAGTAATACTTCATAGGTATTACACACAGAGCACTAAAATTTTGAAATCACTTCTTGAAGAAAACAGTTATAAGCCAAAACTTCAAAAACTTCACCTTCTTTAACTTTAATTGATAAATTCTTTCCTATTGATATTTTTACTACTAATGATGACCTTTTACTGTCACCTTCATAGTAGTCTAAGAAATCAGAAAGTAATAATAATTTTTTCAATATCGGACACTATTTGGCTTATTGTATCTGAATAAAGTTTTGCCACAAAATTATCAAAACCATTGTCCTTTACACCCATATCATGCTCATCTCTTGGAGGGTTCATGAATCTCCTCTCAATCTCTGTAGCAATTTAAGCAGACGGTTCAACAGTCTATAGATTATTTAATCAGGAAACATCCCACCAACAATCTGCAAACATTACATCTACTCAAAAGAACTATGGACTAAATGTGACAGCCTGTCAGGCACATAAGTCAACATTCAGTCATTTCCTTTCACCATAAGCAAGTATTATTAAAAGATCATACTTACAAAGTAGTTCTTTAGAATGCGTATTTCATTTGTAAATCTTGACTGGCAGTAGTAGCTAGAAAAACTCAAAATGATACAGAACTGAAGAGCCAAGATGGAACTTGTATACTTCATTGTTTCAGAGAGTTGGGCTAAAGAAGATGAAATCAGTAGCTCTTGTATTAAGTCGATCAGGTCCAAAGAACTTCACTGATCTTCCTTTTCTAGTGACTGATCTTCAGGTGATCAGAACAATGTACTGCATCTCCTGTTGCTTCTGATATTTATACCTAATTGAAGTCTCATCAGGATTACGTATTTTCACAAGTTTTTTTTTAAGATGAGATGGTGACAGATAGGCGGGGATGCAAGTTAGTTTGTATTAATAACTATGGTTTTGTGGCATTTTGGTGCTGTAGTTAGAGTTTCCTTTCAACTCTTTGGATCCTTTGACAGTGAGACAGACCCATTGTGCCCACTTGGGCCATTCTTGTGAGACCCTTTGAAAACACTTTTACTTCACACCATTCAGGGACTGGAAATTTTTCTGCATCTCCCCAATTTGCCCTTGTAGAGTTGACTCCTCATCCACAGAGCACATTGATCATTTGCTTGTGGTTGGGAACAAGTGAAAAAGGAAATTCTAGGGCCTCACAAACCTTCACAAAGAGGAAGCCTTTTAAAATTTTTCTTGCAAATGATCAGAAAGCAAGGAAAGAATATGGTTAAAAAACCAATGTGGTAAGGAAGCCCTTTATCAGAATTGCTTAGTAAAATCTCTACCATATGTTTCAAATTACTCTAGTCCAACATTGCCCAATAGATTTATAATGCAAGTCACACAGGTAAATTTAAATCACCTAGGAGATTCATTAATATGAGTGAAAAGAACCATACAAAAACTGATTTTTAAAACATTGCATTTAAATCAACATCTATAGAATCATTTAAATATATATCAGTATCATTATTAAGTTACTTTCCATTATTTTTGTCACAGTAAACACTTATTTCGTGTGCCCAGTACCTCTTGATTTGGACTAGCTTCTAGGAATGTATTTCAGTAGTAGACCACTTGCCTAGCCTTCATGAGGCCCTGGGTTCAACCCACAATGCAGAGAAGGAAAAAATGTGAACTATATTTCAAGTGCCCAATAGCCACAGTGGCAAGCAGCCACTTTATTGAACAGAGTCACTCTAGACAATTGTTCCAAATAATTACTAATAATGGAGAATTTTTTAGCTTTTCATTTTATTTGAAAAACACAGAATTCCTTCTCCCTTCTTCAAAATTTATAAAATATAGCTCTTCAGGACTGCGCAGCAGGCTCTTTGGTTTCAACTCTTCTCCCTACACTGCGTACACTGAAGTATAGAGGTTATGGGGGAGACTGTCAGTCTTAGTTAGACTACTGTCTGGCTCTGGGATACTAAGTAAGCAGCTCTTTTATGACTCAGTTTCCTTAGCTGTAAAATAGGCTTAATGACAGTATCTCCTTCTAGGCTTCAGCACAAAGGGTCAGACGATCCACCTAACATGGTCAGAATTTTCCTTGGCATAGTGTAAGCCCTCAATAAACCTCATCCATTGTTACTGACAAACACTGAGTGACCAATCACTCCTTAAAAAAAATACCTTGAACTTTACTCATGTAGTTTCTTTGGCCTAAATTATCTTTTCCTTCACCTGTACCCATCAGGGTAATAATACCCAACCATCCAGGCCTAACCTAAAAATCATCATCTCCATGAGTTCTCCCAAAATCATCTTGCTTAATATTAATCCCATGCCCTCTGTACTGATCTAGCACTTGGTTCGTACAGTCCTGATCCCTCAGTCTGAAATGAGAGTTAATTACTCATAAGTCTTTCCCCACTTTTGAGTCCCTTAAAATCAGAAATTGTTTTGTTGCTTTTGTGACATCTTTTCTTCCCTATGACTTTCTAGTGAGAAAATTTTCTGATAGATAGCACTGAAATGAATGTTAATTTGAATGCTTGCTTAAGAATCTAATTTGAGATCTTGCCTCAAGTTCTAATCCCAATGTTATAAGGCTCAATCTATAGAAAATTTATTTTTAATTAAATAAGATTATTATTGCTAGGAATATGATGCTATATTTCTTCAACCAACACGTGCAGACTAGGATAATTCCATATATTATTTTAGGCTTTCAAAAAGCCGGTTTTATGTTAAGGAAAAAAAAGAAAGGTCTTTAAGCAGTTACCTTCCCAAATAATCAAGTTTTTTAAAAAAATCAGAACATAGCTAGGAGATCAAAGCCTACTGTTCATCAAATGAAGAATGTGGAAATTATATTGCTTCACACAAAACTCTATTGTTGCTCTCTTAACAGAAAACATGGTCCAGAAAATGTGCTTCCAGATCCCACCAAATCTTTGAAACAGATGATTGGCATTCAGTACTTTCCTGAAAACCAATACCCTAACTGAGTCACTTTCTGGAGATCAGTTAATTATAGCCTTTCCTCAGTTCAACTACTAGAATATAGTTTTGGGAACGAGAAATTAAGAATAATGGTACCTCTGTGGAAAATTATATATAGCTCCAGCGTTTGTAAATTCAGAATGCCTATTTGGAATTATACAAATACATTAAGAATATTCTTATAATGTGACCAAATGTTTGAGTTACTAACTACATGGCTGATATCTAATCTCTGACAACTCTTTTTTTTGGTCGTCTAACAGTTCTTGATGGCGTGATCAAGCACACAATTACAGAATTACAAACATTATCTATTCCTTCACTTTTTAGATTAGTAAATCAAGACCCAGAAAACCAGTGATAAGTTTAAATTCATTGCTGCTTACAGCAGAGCTGAGTGTAAAACCAAAATCTCTTCCTTAATTATTCCATTTGCTAACTGATCAATGCCTATTAGATTTATTGTATATTCCTCTAATTATGTTACATATTAAGTTCAAATATTGAAACTCAATCAAGCTTTGAATTCTGGGATTTTTTCCTCCTGTAGAAATTATGTTTACCACACTTTAATTCTTCAAAAATACATGAAGACTAAGAACAAAAATTTTGAAATTCTTGGCCAGACACCGCAGCAGACTCAGAGTCACAGGCCTATACCCTGTTTCATCTGTCAGGAAATTTAATTTGGAGCAACTCATACATGGCTTAATGCTCTGTTGCCCCCTTCTTGAAATTCCTAATCATTTTGGTCCTGTATTTTAATTTTTTATTAGTTCCTGCAAATTATGTAATTAATTGGCTGTGTCCAGGTTGAAAGTACATTGCTTACTACTAGCTTATCTTTGAACATAGTATTCTTTAATTTAGAATGTTGCCACTATAATAATACATCCTTTTATGATCTTTTCCTGTCTTGTTCAATTTTGCAAACTTTTCTCCATGTAAAACACCTTACGTTGTACATGCAAACTAGAGGTTTCACACCTTTTTGGTTCAGCCCATCCTGAGACTGCAGAATAATTCACCATCAAGATATCCTTTAAGTTTTTCAAAGCCACCAGGAGCCAAGGTGTCACCATATTAGTAAAACAGAGGGGCTAAAAACTTTCATTTTTCTTTTCAGCTAGACTTTCTTTCTGAAAACTGGCTATGGTTATGCATTATGCATCAGCAAGATTCAGTTGATTCTCATGCTACCGTCAGTCTTCACTGAGTAGTCAGTCAGACAAAACTTACACCTTGGTTGCCCTTTTCCTCTATGATCAGCAGTCACGTCCCTAGCAGTCACAACCAAATTACTTCATCCTAACTTTGGTGTAGATTCTTCCACTCAGTATGAGTCAGTATTGGATCCATGTTCCCCCGCTACTTTGACTCCTGGAACTCTTGACATCATGCGGGCTGAGCCTGCGGAAGAAGCATACACAATGGAGCTCCGTGCGGAGTCAGAATTAGCCCACAGTTTGACTCAGAATATCCTGCCAGTTGCAGGAAAGTTTTCTAAATCCCCCTTTTTCCTTTAGATCATCTAGGACTTTGAAAGGTCCTTCAAGTAATTTTGAAGATGCTGTAAGGTACAATCCTCAGTTTAAAACATTGCCGATTTTATGCCAGGTGAGATTGTACATGACAATCTGGAAACTCACGATTTGCTTTAAAAGTCATAGTTTTACTCCTTAAGAAATTCTACAGTACTTGCTGAGTGACAATTATTAAAGAAGAATGCAAAGTTCTACTGTGAAAATATGTCACTATTCTAATTTCAATTAACTAGAATCCTCTTACTGAGCACCTCTTACTTGACCTTAACTTCAGAGGTTTCAAAGAAGTTAGCAGTGAGAAAATGTAGTAGCTACAGATAATTCTCCTGTTCCAGGAATAGAATAGAGAGTCATATCCTCTATGTATTTTCTTCCAAAGAAATTCATACAGTCAGAAGGACTGATTATTGGTAACAGTAAAAATTGCACGTTTGACATAATGCATGTATTCACTGTTCTTATGCCAATAGCAGATGTCAACAAGTTACAACGTTCTTTCCCATTAGATTCAAATATTAACACTGAAATCTCAGTAAATACTGCTTCAAGATTTCAGTACCTATTTGCCTTCTTGTTGCCATGTCTCTTAGGTAGATCTCTGAATGAGTTATCTTGATTAAAAAGAAACAAAAGACATGATCTCTCCCTTCAAGAAAATTAGTATTAGAGAAAATATTACAACCTGTGAATTAATGTAGGAGAAAGAATTTTGGCCTAAAAGCACGGAGTCCCAAACTCTGGTGTTGGGTCTGTTTTTAATACCACATGGGACTTTGAGGAAAACTTCTATCCATGCCTGACATCTCAGCTACATCATCTTCAAAGTGAAAAGATGGATTCAGTGAATGCTAAATTTCTCTCCAATTCTATAATTTTGCTTTTATGGAAATGACTTCTGACAAGTATAAGGCGTTACTAAAGATTAAGGTTAAATGAGGTAAAGGTTATAACAGATTTAGAGATTCAAAGAGAAATAATTATCAGAATGATGGGAAAGTTGGGAAATTTTTACCAATGATGAGTTTGAATTTAGGCTAAACTGGAGCTTTTAAATTTGAACTTCAAACAAAATACATAGAATTTGTAAGAAAAGATAGAATACCACCTAAAACTTGTACATAAGCCTCCAGTCATATGTTTTATTAACTAGATTATCATAGGTAGTGGTTGTCCTCTGAATGTCTCCTAAAAATGTACTAAGCTTTAAAAT